ACTGCCAATATGAAAAGAAAAGGACAAAAGAGAAAAACAACAAGAAAAATGACCAGAGTGGGACAAAACCTAGAACAAATAATGGATGTCTATTCTATTAACATTTCTCTATCTGTAGAATGGGGCTGTTTTATGTGTCGTCTTCTCAATCAGAGGGCCCCCTGTCTGTCTTTGCCTAGGGCCCCATATTTCCTAAATCCGCTCCTGCATAAACATGATGTCTTGCTAAAAAAGCCATAAAACAAAAATATCCGACCAAGCAGCACATTTTAAAAGAAGTGATCTTGTGCTGCTGGTTCTGTTCAGTTTACATCAAAGTGACCAATCATTTCTAAGAATTTGAATTTTGACATCGTTTTAAGAAAAATGAAAAGACTGAAAATCCTCATCAGTAAAAAATGATAAAAAAGGAATCAACACGTTTTTAATATATCAGAACAAAGAGAGAACATGTGGGGTTCCTCAAGGTGCTGTTCTTGGCTCGCTTTTTCAAAAACAAAAATTGGACTTGATTTCTCAGTTACATTTTTTCTTCTCATTTTGCTTTTTAATATTAAGAATATAATAAAACCTGCCTTGTTTTGCCCCCTCCCATCCAAAGGAACATGGACCATCTCTCCTTCCGGCCTTTGGTTCAGGTTCTCAGGATAAAGGCTGTAAGGTTAATCCTGAGCAGCAGGGGGCAGCAGAGCTCTGGTCTCACAGCAGCACCTAAGAACAGCTGCAGCTGAAACTGTTTGGTGCTGAGATCCTCTTCCTGACAGTGAGGTCAGATATTCCTGTTATGCCTCACAACAAAATGTCTAAGCATGTATTCAACCAACAGCCTTCAACTGTCTTTATTCTTTGTTTTAAGAGAAATATTTGAATTCAATTCAATTCAGTTTATTTATATAGCGACAATTCACAACACGTCATCTCAAGGCACCTTCATGTTCACCAGATCATCCAGTCAGATTGATTCAAAGTTTTCTATCTAAGAAAAACCAGTTAATTTTATCGACTCATCGACTCTTCAGCAATCCCTCACACTAAGCATGCTTGTAGCGACAGTGGAGAGGAAAAACACCCTTTTAACAGGAAGAAACCTCCGGCAGAACCAGGCTCACTGTGAGCGGCCATCTGCCGAGGCTGACTGGGGTTCGAGGAGACGGAAGAAGAGATAAACTCAGAAGCAGAGATAAGAAAGGCTACTGTCAACCAGCTCCACAGGCGGCCCCATCCAGGAAACACACAGCCAGGCAGACGAGCTCCGAGCCAGCTCCCATGTCAGAGGATGA